ACAATGATTGACAACAATTGTCTTGATCAGAGCTTCATTAGATGTAGCATTGAGTATTAGCACGGGTCATAAATATTTATGTTTCATTATCTTCACATGTCGCCTTGTCTGTCTCCTAATGCATATGTGCATCATTCACATTCTTATGTTGTGGTTATAAATTTAAAATGCTGGATTTCTAGTAAATCTGTCTGACCAAACATTTAACTTTGCTCACAGCTGATATTTGTTGACAGCATATAGTAGACTGTTGCATTCGGGGCTCTTTTAACTATGACTCTCAGGTCTCAGCATTGTCCATTGCAATATTGAAGTGCGGCATATTATTAAAAAATATATATATATTCAGTATAATCTAAAATATTAGACAGATATAATGCAAAAATAATTGATTAATGTATATTAAAATTTTATTTCATACTCATATCATTGTTTAACTCCAACAATAATTTAAAATTCCATAGTATCAAGCAATTGAATGTTCAAATCACAAATGTGTCAAAATTGAATGACTTTAGATGTTGCAAAGAATGAGAGAGGATTAGTTCGTTCTGGATGCAGTGATGAACTAGAGGAGGAAGAAAATGCCAACAGAGATGAAGTCATAAAACTGAGAAAAACCAGAATATAGCTTGAATCAGGACAGAGGAAGGAAAAAGAAAGAGAAGTCAGAAACGAGCAATGAGCGTAAATTGATATTTTGGCTGTATATTCCTTTGGTGTGCCCTAATAAATATCAATTTTGGCTGTATATTCCTTTGGTGTGCCCTAATAAATATCAATTTTGGCTGTATATTCCTTTGGTGTGCCCTAATAAATATCAATTTTGGCTGTATATTCCTTTGGTGTGCCCTAATAAATATCAATTTTGGCTGTATATTCCTTTGGTTTGCCCTAATATGTCACTTGAATTTTGCAATGCCATGATTATTGCTTGGCAGTTGGCACGGCTTTGGCTTTGACTTGATCGAGTATTGAGATTGCAAGGGGATAAACTATGGAATAAAATACTCGAATCGCATTAAAATAAGGCAGTATGATGAATAATAAAGTCAATGGGTGCCATACTGTTTCATATATTGAAGAATGAGTGAGGAATCCCAGTCTAATTAGGGTGATATCTCTGCAAAAGATATTCATCAGAGTAGTAAATGAGCTGCTAAATAAATCTTTGTTTGGAGATTTTTTCCATTTGTTACAATTATGTTTTTGGACTACATTTAAGTTATAATTTATAAATGTCCTTTTATATCTGAATTGATAAGGGGTCTATTTATCAGAAGTATGCATATTGCACTGAGTCAACGATAATGAATAGTGATTGCAAAAGCTGCATGCCCCTTGTTCATGTTTTTGAGCATTGTCTGGCTAAGATTATAATTACAGCATCTGCTGGTACTGGAGAAGTTAGAATTGAATATTTACATTGATTGATGTTTCATGTGGGTGTAAATAAAATTTTCCTTTTCTTCGGGCTTAAAACATATCGTTCACTTTTGTTCTTCCAATTTCCTTATACCTTTTGTCTACACTTTCAGTTACTTAATTGCATCAATGGGACTTCAAGTGCTCTGGAGCTTTGGGCTTGCATGTCTTGACATTTATGCTGTGAGGAGAAAGAGAGACCTTCAAAATGCAATCCTTGTCAGCCTATTTGTTGTGGGTGACTGGGTAATAATGAATCCAATTTCCTTATCTTTCTATCTTCCTGAGGAGGAGAAGTCTATAAGCTTTTTGTAGAGCTAGATTAAAGCAAATATATGATTAATCTTATCATTTGTATCACTTATTCTGGATGGACTGGAAAATTAATGTACTGTAGCTGGTAAATCATTGAAATAACTGTTAGTTGGCTTGCTGGACTGGCAAAATTTAGAAGATAGGCTCTACATTGTAGTTCTCTGAGCTCTTTTTTTCAGTCAACAACTAATGGATCATTTTAGAAACGTCACCTAGAAGTAATTGAGGACTTTGAAGCAAAACTTTATTGCTTCTCCATCATCCATGGAGAAGGCAGAGCAGTCCTCTATGTGATCTAGTTAATGGTTGTGAGGGAAATTGTCAGTTTTTGGCCCAGAGTTGATAAGACCCATGCCTTAGTGCAAGAATTAATTTTATGCTGATGGGATTGTTATATAATCTTTTTCGACTTTCTTCCTCAATATTGACTATTGGGGAATTTTTTCCCCCTCCATGTTCTAGTTCTGGTACATTCGAATGGCAAAAGGGCAACAAAACTTAAGTCTCTTGTCAACTTCCTTGATGAAACATTTTGGCGGTTGTTAGATATTATAACAACACTACCAGTGAGCTTGCACGTGAGTTTTTGAGTTGAAATAGTTTTGGCATAATATCAGAGTAATTTTGGCCAAGTGGTACAGAGTTTGATCACTCCTGCCTCTAATTCTTACAATTAAAATTAAGTCTTAGCATATGGTATGATAAACCTGCTTTGCCCATGTTTTAAGTCGTGTGTATATTTGTGTGATGATTAGAAATTATGGCAACATTATTCACAGTCCTTCACTTGAACATTTGAGTTGAATCCGTTAGCTGTTTCCTTCTGATGATAGTGATTTATGAAACGCAGGTAACGGCTACTTTATCATTGGCAGCTGCATGCTCGTCAGCAGGAATCGTAGTCCTTTATTCTAAAGACCTGAATTTCTGCAAGGCTCAAAAGAATCTGCCTTGCAGAAAGTACCAGATTTCTGTAGCCATGGCTTTTATCACCTGGGTTTTTACGGCGATCTCTTCACACGTGATGTTTTGGATCTTAGCCTCTGTGTAGCTTCACCTATTTCCCTTGCCACAGAGATGACTTGCGCGCTACAGTGTCTTTGATTTCTGTTGTATATTTTGTTCCATGAATAGATAATTGAACGCTGTAAATTTTGCTGTATCAGTATCTTATCTTCACATAATAGCGAAACTCCTTGGAAAAAGTAAACTAAACCAATCATGAAGAGATATATAGACATGTCAAAGGTTAGTTTTACTTAGAAGTCAGCCTGGCATGTATATATATCTATTCATTATTAGTTTAGTTTACGTATTTCTTTTGTAGATTGTGTTTGAAAAACAAAAGAGGCCAGATTCTTCCATAACCCCCGCCACCTCAACCATGATGTTCATTATTTAAAGGTAATGATTTTTTTTCCCCTTACAGCACGTATTTAAGAATTTGAACTCTATATATTCACTAAAGTAAATATATAATGTATTTACAAAAATTATTTTGTTTTCAACGACAATACCACTATGCTGCCCTCCATTGGCACTTTGACTGGGGACGAGTGGCCAATAAGAAGCAGCTCATTGTTTTTAATCTCTGGTCTCTTCCCATAACCAACACACCAAATCGTTATCAACTAAAACCACCCAACCAAGGCCTACATTGGATTTGACGGAGGGGTTGAATCAGGACGTGTTCTTATTCATACTGGCAGATCAGCAGAGTCAGGGTTTATAAGAGATGGGTTGTGATTGAAAAGCATGCATAATATAGAGTTTATATAAAATTTGATGGCTGAGAATGCATAATACTATTTTCAGTCTTTAATATAAAAACTAATTAACTAATTTAAATATATTAAAAAAATTAGTTAAATTAGATATTTGTGATAAATAGATGTTCTTTTTTCTAAAATATCATTGCTAATTAAGTGTATTAGCTAAACTATCATTTAATGAAACTCTTAATATGTGTAACTACTACAAGGACTAACTTCAAAAAAATAAATAAATATGAAAACAAAGTGGATTGAGATATTATATTTATGAGTAATTAAAAGTCAAACTAGCTCTTACTCCCTCCATCCCTTATTATAAGATCCAATTTTTTAAATAGTTTTGTCCTTTTTATAATATTCCTTTTGAATTTGTCTGAATATTTAATACATTATTACCTATTTTACTTCTAGTTTAATGCATTTAATATTTTCTTTCTTCATTTATCTCACTATTACTCTCTCACATCTACCTTTTTATATCTAGGGGTCTATTTGGAAAAAAACTGCATTTGCTACATATTAATTACTTTTAACTAATTTTAATTATTTTCTTAAACTGCTCAATTTAAAATCCTATAATAAGGGATGAAATAGTATACTCCCTCCATTCTTTATTATAAGAGACAAATAACCAAATTACGTTGATAAAAAAAAAAACAGTTAAAATTAGTTAAGGACAATTAATATGTAAAAAGTATAATGTTTTTTCCAACAATGCCTTCATTAATAAGGAGAGAGAGCATGAGAGAGAACAATTAAATTATTAAAAGAAAGAAAAGTGGGGGAGAGAAAGAGTATGAGTTGGAGAAAAAATAAATAGAGGTAAAATAGGAAATCAATACAAAAAAATAAAGATAACTTTTAAGTATCTCTTATATATGAGAACATGCCATAAGCATCAAATGTCTCTTATAATAAGGAACAGAGGGAGTATTAAGGATCGAAGGCAGTACTTGCATAATACTCCATCTAGTCTTTAAATGAAGATTTTGACACATTTTTTCCCCTTTAAAATCTATAATTTTTTCTTAAACTTTTTCTATTAATTGCTTATGTTAAAGGAGTTTTTCATTTAAGTGAGCAGTTTCCTAATGCGAATAATTTTGCAATTATTAACTAAATTAGATAATTTTTTAAATTTTTAAAAATCAATTACCTAACTCCTGCATTATTAAGAAAAATTAAAAATTCCGGTCACTCATTCTCTTCCTCCTTCCGCCATAGATATTGAGTGCAATTTCTGTGGGATATACTATTACCTAAATATTTTTTTTTTCCGCATCATAAAGGGCAAGCTATTGCTTGAAAAGGTTACTTCTAATGGATCCTACTATTGTGTGCAGCACCCTCTGCCGCTATGTCCATCTGTAGCCTGTCTCCTAATATTACCTAAATATTTTAAAAGGAACTTATTGAAGTATAATATACAAAATCTTTTGTGAAAGTAATTAATTCATAACTAGCTCTGCAAAAGATACAGACAGACATCTACGTTTTGGGGACATCACTGGTAAGAATACTAATAAGGTACTCAATCTCGTCGGAAACTTCCTTCATGGGAGGCCGATTATGCCTCTGCTCATCCAAGCAAGCCACTGCCAGAAACCCCAGGGACTTCATCGTCTCCAACTCCAAGTTGCTCGCTCCGTCCATCAACACCGGATCCACCATGTCCAGAAACCTCTCTTCCTTTACCATCTTCTTCCCATAAACCACCAAGTTCACATTCTCCTCTTCCCTGGTAAAATCAATCGCCTTCTCACGAGTCAGAATCTCCAGCAAAACCACCCCAAAACTATACACATCACTCTTATCAGTAAGCTGAAAGTTCCGATAATACTCAGGGTCAAGATACCCTAAGGTCCCCTGTGCACTGGTGAAGATATGGCTCTTATCCGCCTCAGCTATCTCAACAAGCCTAGACAGCCCAAAGTCTGAAACTTTAGCATCAAGCTTATCATCTAACAGTATATTGCTTGATTTTACGTCCCTGTGGTATATAGGAGGCAATGCAGAGGAGTGAAGATAGTTAAGAGCTTGAGCTGTTTGGTGAGCGATTTTAAGCCTGTGAAGCCACTGGAGAGGACGATCAAAACGGTGCGTGTGGAGGTGGTCGAAGAGGGTCCCATTGGGGACATATTCGTAGATGAGGAGGGGTTGGTAGTCTAGTTCGACGCAACAACCGAGGAGGCGGACGAGATTACGGTGGTTGACTTGGCAGAGGATTCGAACCTCGTTGAGGATTTGGTCGAGGGCTTTGGTGTTGCCGAGCTTGGCTCGTTTAATGGCTACGACGGTTCCGTCATCGAAGGTCCCTTTGAAGACCTCGCCGAAGCCGCCGGTGCTGATGAGGTTGTCTTTGGAGAAATTGTTGGTTGCCTTCTTGATCTCTCTCATTGTGAAGATCCTGGCCGATAATCCACAGTTGGCTTTTGCGTTTAAGATTCGTTCCTTTTGCTTCGTTAACTTCCTTTCGGCTTGTTTCTTTGACTTGTCATGCTTCTTGTATAGAAAAATGCTCACTACCAGTGCAATGAATACTATTGCCCCCAAAGAACCTCCGACAGCTGAAGAAAACAAAACCCCACGTATATGCCATAAATTTAAAGGTATGAAAGAGGGATGAATTTGTATAAATTCCTCCGGTACTTAATATAGGATCCAATTCTTGAGTTGGTTTTGGTCCTAAATATAAGACCCATTTATCATATTTATCAATTTTTTCTAAATTACCCTTTATAAATACTCCCTCAACCATAATCAAGTAGAAGAGAGAGAGAGGGTATTGAGAAAGATGATTATGGTATTTTAGGAAAAACGTATCACGTTTCTTATAATTAACTAACTTACCTAACTTTCTTAATCTAATCAAATTAGTTAAATGGGTCTTATATTAAGAACCGAAGGAGTACACATATATATATGTATGGGGTAAGGGATAAAGAAGGAGAAAGCTGAGAGATGGACAGCCCTACATGTTAACTCAAAACTCGGATTAAGTTGTCTTTCACTTTTTTTTTTTTTTACATATTACTACCTATGGTTCTAATAAGAACTAGTTGACTAATTTGAGAAGATTAAGAAAAAAAATCAAGTTAGTTATTTATAATAAATAAGTGTTATTTTTTGTAAATATCCTTGTTAATCAAATATATTGGCTAAAACTACTATTTTTAAAAAGACTACTTTGGAAAAATATATATAAATATGAGAGATAAAATGGATTAGAGTCTTATATTTAGGACAAAATAAAATTCAAATAAGGTCTTATACTACCTTTGGTCCTATTTATAAGATTTAGTTGACTAATTTGAGAAAATTAAGGAAATAAATTAAGTTAGTTATTTGTAATAAATAGGTATTGTCTTTCCTAAAATATCATTACTAATCAAGTATATTAGTTAAAACTACTATTATTAGAAGGACTATCTTGAAAAAAAATACATAAATATGAGAGACAAAATAGATTGGGGTCTTATATTTAGGACTAAAATAAAAGTCAAATAAGGTCTTATATTAAGAACCGGACATATTATTTATTAAGCTCAAATACTTTATTTGATATGAGACACACCTCACACTTAAGCACCCTAATATACGCAAATAGATAAAAGAGGTTTAATTTATTTATTACATCACGTACCAGCGAGGGGCGTGGCCTTCTTCTTCTCACGATGACCAGGTTTGCATGGTTTGCCTTTTCTACCATCACGACTTGGGCACGTTACTTCTACAGGTTTGCATGGTGGATCACCTTTCCTACCGTGTCTTGGGCAGGCTACTTCTATAGGTTTGCATGGTGGATCACCTTTCCTACCTTGTCTTGGGCAGGCTGCTTCTACGGGTTTGCATGGTTCACTACCTTTTCTACCATGCGTTGGGCAGCTTACATCTAAAAGTTGTAAGGAGAAAAGACAATGTTATTAACAGGAATTCACATTGACAAAAGAAATCCTAAGCATTGATTCTTCATAATTAAAGATCTGAACATAATGTTACATTAAGAAAACATGACAGGATAATCAACGAAAATTATTGCCAGTCCGAGTTAATAATACCGGAAAAGTTATATTTAAAGGCATTTTTTGGGGGGGGAAAATAACATTTGCTTGCATGATAACTTTTTTAATATGTCATACTATTATCTCCGAAAGGAAATATTTGCGTGATTTTTGGAATTGATTAATTTTTTTACTTTTGACATAAATAAGAACTTCACTTAAAATAACAAGCTTCCATTGCATCTTGATTTAGTTTTACAATATTAATGTTTATTGAAACAACTTCCAAATCTAGAATTATTTATAAAGAGATATTTTAACACAAAAACTTAAAATAAATTAAATAATAGAGAAAATCGTTCAAGAATAGCGCTTTTCAAGATTTATTAGCAAAGGTATCTGAAAACTCAGATACAACCTATTTTTAGTTGTGTGCGCGACATAACTTCAACTGTGCATAAAAAAGAAAGATATTTATACATAATTAAAAATATGTTGCACATAATTGAATACGAGTTTCGCCTATCCAAGGACATGATTGTTTCAATGCCTTTGAGCAATAAATTTTGCCATGAGAAATTTTCAATAATTTTTCCTTAAAAATTTCGCTATAAAATTGTTTAAAAACTTTTCACTTACCTTTTGGTTGATCATGACCAAGTTGACACAGTCCATTGCTAGGGTCCCACTTGAAGCCAGCATTGCAAAGGCACTTCATTCGCCGAGCATTGGTCGGATCCTTCAAGCATTTGGAGTTCAACAGCTCCTTGCAATCCTTCGGGCCCTTGCAAACGGGCTCCACCGGTATTTCCCACTCCAACTCTATTCCCAGCTCCGGCCACCTATTCGGCGGCGGAGCCACCGCCACATTGAGATTTACAAAACTCTGATATGCAGCACAGTCTCCTTCATGCACCCTTATCATGTACTCCGAGAAGGGTTTAACGGTCCTGAAGCTGCAACATAACCCTGCGTTTTTGCACGCGCCGCCGCCGTCTGCATGATCCTTAATGTAGCTATGACACAGATCATTCGGTGAACAGTCCAACGGTGGTTTTGATCTCGGCATCGCGTTCGTACAGTTGTACAGAAAGACGGTATTATTGCCGGTCATTTTAAAAGGAAGGGCTTTGTTCAGTTGTATGCCTTCGTTGCGGAAGTCGCCGGACACACACGTCCACGGGGAGATGCTTGCGGGTCGTATAATGATCCGGCGAGTCACCGGATTGATGGACTTTATCATGTAAGATGATCCACTGAGATCGTCAAACCACAACTTGCCTTTTGTGCACTTCATACTGTACATCGGATGGCCACAGTCGGGTCCCGTGCTTAATGGGTATGGAACCGGATTTGACCCGCAGTTGCGGCAACGCCGTGGGGTGCCAGCGGCACAAGATAGTAGCACCGCCATCGTGAAGATTAAGGTTATTGCAGGAACCCTCTGTTGCACCATTAGAGAGCAAACTGTAGAATGAGAATTGGCTGGCGTACATGGAAAGACGGAAACGGGATTATAATTATAATACTGAAAATCTTTGCACGAGAGTAACTAACTCAGGTGAGTGAGGCGACCCAAATTCTTCTGATATGACCCAAAAGGAAAAAAAGAAAAAAGAAAATACTATACGAAGCTTCTGTAGAGACCTTAAACTAATATTTCAGACAAGAATTTTCACAGACTGTTGAAGGCACGTTGCCTAGGATGCCATGTAGGGAATAGGGAATAATCAAAAAGAAAATATATGTTGAATCCTATGAAGATATTGGAGCTGTACTTGGCGTTTCCAAATTAAGTTGCTAAGTAATTTGAATGATCAAGGGCACCAATAAAAAGGACTATATTTGTGCATGACTTAGCAAAGAAGTGACGTTCAGCTGAAAGCATTGCATGTGTCTTATTTAGGTTTTCCCAAAGCGTATCACGTTCTTCCAAGGAGGATATGCATATGCTTTGACAGCTTTATGCACTCTTATCATTAATATAAGAGCTAGTTGACTAATTTGAGTAGATTAAAAAAATTAGTTATATTAGTTATTTGTAATAAATAGGTGTTGGTTTTTCTAAGTATCTTTGCTAAGCAAGTGTACTGGTTAAAACTACTATTATTACGAGGATTATTTTGAAAAATAACAAATAAATATGAGATACAAAGTAGATTGTAATTTTATATTTATGATCAAAATAAAAATTAAACGAGTTCTTATGTTAAGAATAAAAGGTACTATAATGTTCTATGAACCATATATGAGGAGAGGTTGATTCATTATTAATTAATTGTATAGCTAATATTAGAGTGAGAGTGTGAGTTCATCATCAGAAGCCCCATTTTTGAGAATTTCAGGAACTGCACGATCCAATGTTCCCTAGCTTCGAGATCAAAAGATATCTTAATTTTTGTGGATTTTGTCCCGAGTCGGTAGTTTCTATGTTGGATTTCAGTGAAAGGCGGATGATTTCACATGAGTCATCAGTATCATGACATGTGCTGTTATTTGAATGGACAGTGGCTGTGGTAACTGTACGAAGAAAGCACGTAGATCATCGTATCGGCGAATGCAAACTTCTCATACTTCTATGATATCGTCCGAGCATAATGGTTTTTGACTTTTTGAGTTTTCAATTACTACTTCTTCATGTCCAATTGACTTCCATTTTTTCATTTGGAAAATATGCACTAAAGCTCGAGTTGACACTTCGCACTATAAACTCTCTTTTACAAATGGTGCTTCTTTTCATAACCTTCATTTTTCAGATGCTATATCGAGAAGAGAGATTTAAAAAACTGAAAAATAGAGTTGGATCATTTTGGGACAAAGCAGAGAACTTTTGGGATTTTGAATACAAGAAAATTTACTTGGTTGATGCTGTTGCGAGATTGTTAAATTGAAGGGTGAGCAAGGAATATTTCTTAGAGTTTGGAATATACCCTATACCAGTTTCCTAAAATATGATGAAATAGGTAAAATATTCTAAAATACTATCTCCAATCCTTAATATAAAATGCAGTTGACTAATTTAGAAAAATTTAAAAAGTTAAATAAATTACTTAATTATAATATATGTTATATGCATAGTTTCTCTGAAATACTTATATATATTATTATATTATGTATTACTTTATCAGTCAAACAAATTAGTTTAAAAAAAGACGATAAATATAAATATTTTAAAGTAATGTATTTAAATTCTTTAATTTTTTTTAAATTAGTCACCCATATCTTATATTAAGAACTGATGGCAGCATCGGAGATTACCCCTTTCCTCTCTCTCTCTCTCTCTTCTTGTATGGTGCATCTATTGTACCACTATGGTTTACACTCTAAAGTCCTGTGTGGTACGAAACATTAAAAATAAGGGATAGAGATTGTGATTACAATTTAAAAAATCATTAAAAAAGTCTTTAGCATGAGTAATTATTTGTTACATGAGATTATGCAAACTCATGGAAGTATGATTAGGGAATACCACTTCCCCTATGGTATTCCTCAATCTCACATATATAGATTTATTTAATCCCACGTAACAAGCAATCTTTTATACTAAATACTATTTTTTCAATCTCAATCCTAATCTATATCCCTCATTTTCAATGTTTTGTATCAAACGGTACCTAATAGTTGGCTATTTCATTTCTAGTCACCAGTAATCAGTAATCACATACCTTTTGAAGTCCCAATACACAACATAACTCGACGTATTAAGTGATAAGTAGTCGAATCGTTTTCATTGTACGTAATTGCAAATTTTTTGTTATATTAATTCTCGATGCATCATAAACTTTATGACTTGATGTTTATAAAACAAGAAAAATAATTAATTAAAGAACAGCAAAATGCTGCATTTTTCGCAATAAGCCAGATACATTAGCTTTATTGGAACCTATAGGGCTATTTCGCTTTCTTCGCCGATTTTATAAAGCACACGTCTCCTCTCTTATTATGTAAAACCATAAAAACTTCATAATTTTATTCAGAAAGTAAACGTAATATTGTGGGTCAAGATAAAGCAAGGTTCCTTTTACTACACGTTGCGATGGGACTTGGTGGAACTATCTGGAAACCCCATAAAAGATAAACTTGTGCATTAAGCTTAGGGAGATAATAATTAAGGAAATTCGTTAGATTTTTTTCATACAAAAGAATTAGGTGAACTGCGTCCCAAGTATTTACTAAGATGAAGGCAAATCTTGTGCCTTAAATAATATTTATGGGAGTACTTATATATTATCTATTAATACCACATCCAACCGCAAAATTTGAAACTACATCCTTGTAAAATATTAATTGTATTCTTACTTTTATCAGCCGCTAGTTTGTTTTCTCAATATGTAATTTTGTTTCGTTTAGTGCACGAGAGCGAAATTCTATAATTGAAGAGATGTGTCTGAATATTTTTCATAAAATGATCCATAATCAGTTTATCATACCAAAGTATGATATCGCATAAATATTTGATATTATTTTTTATTACAAGATGTCAACAATTTTGAATTTAGATCTTAAAAAATATTCTAGTAGACTAAAGGTCAAATAACAATGAATATACCAATAAATCACAGGAATAGTTTATTTGAATGATTTGTTTTGAGAAAGCTAATAATGACGATTAATTAATAATTAAGTCTCTTGTTGCCAAAATGTGATAAATATATCAGTATTTTTCATAGATTAAGTCTTAACTCCATTTTCATCATCAATAGTATAAAATATGAAAAGTATAAGAAACAATGTGATCACTTTTGAATGTCATGCTACATGAAAGCCAAGCCACTCTAATTAATTTATTTAGAAAAGGTTATAAAGAGTCACGCTTCAGCAATTATAAGCTTTACTACTAGTTATCTTAAATTTTGTGCAAATGAATGGCCTATTTAACTACTAAAACAAAAAACAAAAAAACTATGTCTAATTAACTTCCAAAAGAAGTTACGCGCCCTGTTTATTTTAATTTAAATTTGAAGCCTTCATTTTTGGTCCATCCTTTGACATTTATTTTGTCATAAAATCAGTTCTTTTAGAATTTAGATTACATCATCAGTCGTAAATTTCTTCGGGCATCTGAATGTTTAGTTAGTAAAGGGTATGATTAATCGCAAAGATAATTTTGAATAAAATAATGTTGAAAGGTGAACGTCATCAGCCAATGGATGATTTGAGGAAACAATTATTAATTTGTAGCCGACCTCTCCAACTCCACCAAACCAAATAGTGAAATATTCAGCCCTTTCTGTTGAATTTTCTTCATTTTTACAATATCTGATCCCTGTAAGAATATTATAAAATGGATGGTTTCTTGTAAGACTGGATTTCTTTGAAACCTCCCACAACAAACCTTGAATCATCATCCCATTATTTAAAGCTTAAAGCATATATTGCCTTCACTACATGATTATTAGATTTTAATTAACGCATAATATGACTTTATTCTTCCGTTAGGCCTAAATTTCAAGTTGTTCTTTACTTGGTCGCTGGCTAGAGGTAACATATAAATAAGGGAGAATTACAATGAGGTCCCACGAAAAGAAAATAATTATAAAATAAATTCTAGATGTTATTATTTTCTATTCCGTAACTTGTTATTACAGAATTCTTAGATTGTTATTTAGATTTTTTTAGTAATTATTTTCCTTCTTTGATACCTCATTGTAATTCTCCCTATAAATAATTAATCCTCATGATAAAAATAAAATTATTGTAGTGCATGACGAATTTTCAGTGTCTATTTTGTGATTTATATTTTTATTCTCTTGTAATTATAGCTGTCTTATAATTTTTCCCATTTTTTTGCTCACTCAAACTCTCGTAAAATCTAGCTTGTGATCCTTCTAATTTTTTTTTTTTAAGAAAAATGTCTTTACCCCAAATTCATTTCAAAACCTAATGACACATAAAGATTAAATTTTGTCCAAATATGTACCCAATTATTTACATTTATTCATTAAATTCAAATAAAACAAGACAAGGAATGTTGTAGACGAAAACACAAACGAATGTAGTTGTCTATATATGACTCGTATATATGGCCACCATATGGGGCCTCCTGCTCCATTTTTTCTTATACTTATATCTCTTTGTGAATTTATAATACTCGTAATTAGTTTTTTAATGTAAAGGACTGGACCGAGATGCAGAGTGTTCATCCATTCGCTGTTTAAATATATATAAATATATATATATATATACGTATATATTCATAATTTTAAATCGCGATAAAAGTTTACCAAAAACCAAATTAAAATGTGCTTGTAATTTTGATCAAATTAAAAGGAAGAATTGAAGTCTGAACATAGAATAAACAACCAAATTAATCTTTGCATACAAATTATTCAACAGAGCTACAGTTTTCATGCCCGCTTTGGCCATGAAAACAAGTACATACATTTTGCTTATTTACTAACAATGACCCCAAAATCTCTCATACTTTAATAAATTGTACTTTTATAGACCCTTTCT